TTGGCGAAACGTTTTGATTGGTTGAAATGGGGAAGGGTGGGTGTTCTGATTGGCTTGTTTTGTTGAAACGTGAGAAGGTAAGCCAGCTGATGTCGCTGGTTGCTGCAGACAAAGCATGCCGGTAGCCGCAGCGGGAGGAGGCCGTGGATATTGCACTTCAATATTCCTCAACAACCAAAGTCCAGCACTGAATGGAGCCTGCGGCACGAACGTCCTGGCCGTTTAAAGGCAAGTGTACAATGACGTGGTCCTCGTTGGACACACGAAAAAAAACGAGCTCCACGCGTAGGACAGCGAAAGAAGTCCACATCACTGCCAGCGATGTCTACGCCCATTGCCTCGTGATGTTGGAATGAAATGGGTTTTGAGTCACTAGACCCAACGAGGCCTTGGAAGGTTTCCATCTTCGTCTCGAGGTCACTGGACCTTGCACGCCTGAGACGGCGCATGGCGATGGTGGAGGAGTCACTGGTTGGTTTGCAGGAGTAAGAATACACTGTCGAGTGGATGCAGTAAACGCTATCAAGCTCTGTTTTGACCGTGTTATCAATCTACCGACTGTGAAAGTGCGCGAGCGGGCCTGTTGCTTTGGTGGCGGCTTCGATGGTTCCGACGAGCTATGCACGCTAGTTAGCGATTCGTGGCACGCAGCAGAGGACATGTTACGCGTTCGCGCACGATAAATGCGCCCAACGACGTGACGAGCCACGCGACAACGACGAGCGCTGCGTAGTACTAGTACAAGCATAAATCGGCTCCATTTACTAGTAGTTTGTAGAAATCGTACCTGGACCCAGCCCCGCTGGAGGCGCTCATAGAACGTCGGAATGTACCTACCGCACATTGGTCGTCGTCCCTGTTGGTATAGAAAAAAGACTACGAAATGTCGGTGACGGGGACACTCAGCGTCGCGTTCATGACAAACCGCCGGGGGTCCACACTGGCATCTTGGATCCACACATGCTCTTGGTTGGTCACATGGGCTCGGTCTACGGCACCGATGACGCCCGTCCATTTCGTCATCACGAAGACGCCTACTCTCACGACGGGTCTGCCGCAGCATGAACTGCTCGAGCCGCAAGTCGTCGGCGTGGTGGAGCGACGACACGTTGAGCAGCGCGTCGGCTGCATACGGCATCGCGCACCTAATGCGATCGTCCATCAGATCGTCGAGGCTCCGCTTCGATCGTAAGAGTACGTGGTCGTGAGTGGCAACGGCCGCTTGAAGCTCAGCGCGAGATCGCCCACGGTGTAGAGGACGCTGCCTGGCAGCGGCGATGCATGCGAGACGAGCGCCATGACGTCCATACTCAGCTGGGCGTGCGTCTACAGCCCAACAATACTACTAGTACAGTCGACCGAAGGACACATAATTGCCGTCGACCTGGACCGTCGCGTTGAAGATCACGAGCAACGACGCTTTCTGGACGCGTTCGCCTGCGTTCACTGCGATCGCCACCTCGATCGAGACGCGGTCCAGAAGGCCATCGCGGTTGTCGTCGTCGAAAAACGACTGAATTTGCCCTGGGCGCAGCGCGTCGCCCGCGAGTTGGTTGACGTTGCTCGGCAGCGTGCTCCAAAAGCCCGAGAACACGCTCTCTTTGCCATCGTCGTCGCGCGCCGTGCCCTCGATGAGAAGCAGCGTCTGGTACATGTAGCGCACGTGCGGCTGCTCGCGATACGCGACGGACCGAGGCCAGAACGCTACGCAGCGAACGCGGTCAGGAGTCATCGATCGTACGATCGGCCTACTCGATGCATCGTAGACGAGTAGGAGCGGCAAGAGAAGCGTCGTGAGCCACGCTAGCCACGACAGGAGGTACGCGGGCGAGCACACGTTGCCATAGTAAACGCGCGCGACGGGCTCGTGGTAGACGGGCCGCATCCACAAAGTGCCCTTTCAAGATCGGCCACCGGATTGCATTACATCAAGAGCAACGCCGTCCGCGAGCTATGTGGAGAAATGCGTCTTGCCGTACACCACCATGACGACGTGCGAGGACTGTGGCAGGAATGATTACCGCCAAACACTCTTGTCATGCGACTGCCTGCACAGCGATCGAACGCATCGACATGGGCTAGCGCTCGCCGCGTGCAACATGCGCTGGCCTGTGGAAGCCATCGACGCCTCTCGGAACCAGGACCGTTCTACAGTACTATACGGTGCCAACGGACGCATCCGCGCCAACGAGCTTCCACCTCGTGCATGGCTGCAGACAGCAAAGACAACGCTAGTGCCGGTAGACATTGGCTCGACAGCTGCTACCGAGGCCGACTGCTCGCTCTGCGCTTGTAGCTTCTTGATGGCGCCATGCCATGTACGCGCCGCTATGTCCCTCGCATCTTGCCCCAGCGGCCAACTTGAAGTTGCCTTTCACTGTCGGCGCCGAGGACGCGATCGCGGCGGTAGTAAGTGCCACGTCATCGCCACGTATACGCGAGCTAGCGTCGGGTTCAAGGCTTGAGCGCGTCCACCCGCCGGACGCGACGAGCGACCGCGTCCTGGCCCGTATCCAGTCCGCGGTGCTGATTGGCTGCGTCGGGCCCAACGACTGGAAATTCGGGTGCGCCATCCGGATTGGCCAAATAGGTTGCGACGTCCGCCAATAG